AGGCGAAACGTCAGGAGAAATGCCTCTAGAACATGGCCATATAGCCCAAAAAAACCCACAAGAACTGAGATTTCCTAATCGATTTGCCCTTGTCTCACTGCTATAGGATGGCTCTGCATTTTGCCAGAGTTCCAAGGCAAACAAGCAAAAAAGAGAAAGGGGCAGTTTTCAAGATAATTTGTTCCAAAACTGGGATGATTAGTCCACCACCACCACAAGCCCATTTTTGGTCCCAGCACACTAAGAAATGTGTTTGGAAAACAAGCTAAAAAACCTGCATAGGTGGCAGTAATTATCTTTATCAATATTTGGATTCAATCATAGGGTGAATCTACCACATACATACACACACACACACACACAGAATATATGTACTTATCTATGTTTATGTATATGTATGATTGATCCACATATGATATTACACAGCTTGATGAATCTGGCCTCAACTTGGCATACCTACCCATCATGATTCAACTTAAAATACCGGTGGGTCTTTTTTTCTTCTTTTTTTGAGGCAGGGAGGCACTGATAGATGATGCGAGTTGTAGTCACATCCAGAGACCCATTTGTATACTACCCTGGGATGGAGGCCACACTTGGAGATACGTACATTTCAAGATCTAACTTTAAAATACTAATGAGGTTAGGGGAGAATGATCGCGAATAATGGGAATTGGAGTCTAGCCATGTCTGGAGAACCACATCATTGCCAGTTCCAATCCAAACAGATTGGGGCAGATTGGAGTTCCAGCTGACCAAATCTAGGGCTAATGGGATTTGTAGCCTGACCAGGACTTGGGCTAATGGAAATTCCAACTCATCACCCATATAATTTTATAAACCTCCCATTATATACAGCTATACATTTTCGAATGGGACAATTTATAAAATCATAAAGCTAATAATGGTTATTTGTAACCTTTAGAAGATGCCTATCTGGGCAACATTAGGCACATAAGACAGATAGGTAATAGCATTGATTAAACAGCTCCGTTTAAAGCAGTGCATGGGATACACGTAAACAGAACTAGGCTGAAACACAAAGAACAAAAAAGTTTTGTTGTTTTTTTGTGAGCTCCACTTAAAATACTCAGATTCTGCCATAGTATATATTACAGTATATGAGGTTCTCATAGCCGTCACATTGAATCATTCAGCAGACAAAAGATACAGGAAACAGTGATACAGGAAATAACTTTTCTTGAATTTAACTATACCTGTACAAACCACATACCTTTTCTGCATATAGTCAGACGTTAAATGTTATAACTCAGTTAAGTTAAATGTTATAACTCAGGAAGATAATAGATAGAATAAGAAATGGATTAAATAAAATAAAGATAGAAAAATATAGGGATCTAGAGCAGAAAGTAATAACAAAATGGTATAGGACACCAATTCAATTGGCACATAAGAATCTGAACACTTGTCCTGCCAAGAAAGGATCAGTTTTGTTTTCTGTTGTATTACAGAATAGAACTAGAAACAGCAGGGAAGCAAACAGGCGATGATTTTTAAAGCTTAAAAGCTTTTCAACAGTAACACAAACTGTCTGGCGAACAGGGACTACTAGTAAGCATTTAAGCTGAGTGCATGCTCCTCTTATGGCAGGGAGAAGAAAATGTGATTGGCTTCTTAAAAGCTGGCCTCATGCCAACTAATTCTACTTTTATTTCATTATTGGAGGAAAGTGCAGCTTTGTTTTTTTCTTTTTTAATTTGAACTCTTGTATATTTTAATTGTAAGATGTTTAAATCTTGTCAGAATTGCCATCTAAAAATGAATTAGGTGGCTCTCTGTATGCTCAGATTCCATCATCCGTGGCTTGCAAATATTTTTGAAAATCCAGAAAGCAAGCCTCGATTTAGACACAATAAACACCTTATTATGCTATTGTGTATTAGCATATTTACTCAAATCTAATGCTCAGCTTTGTTTGCTAAATTACCTTGCCAAAATTAGGGTACACATTAGATTCGAGTAACACAGTCATCTTAGTGATGGATCAAAGCTTCAGGAGCTGCATTTGGAGATCCATTGAGGGACTGGAGGTGAAACCATCCTTTTGTAAGAGATACGGACACCGACATAGATTGGAATAACAAAATGTATCTCGTATGTAAACCTTTCATTTATGTGTTTAAACTTATATGGTTTCTCGCCTCTTTCACATAGTGTCAGAGGTTTTTCACTGTGTTCATGTGACACACGTAGACACTGCAGCCAACACACGAGTATAGACCGTGCCCTGAGCATTTTGGACTAAAAGGTTGCCTATTACACTATGTAACAAAATTTGGGAAGAAAATTATGTTCCTGGTTTGAAAGTTTTATTTCCTGTTTAATTGTGCAGTACTTATTTTGAAAGTAGTTATTCTACTCCAGAAACTTCGTTTTTATGGCTGCTACAAACTAGGTTGAATTGGTTGAGACTCTATGAAGATATTCATTGAAAAACCAGAGCAAAATGTGCTGCAGGATGTCGCTCCTGCAATAACAAAGGTTTCGCAGTTTAATACACTTTTTCATTGTGTGGTGCAATGGGTTAAACCCTTTTGCCAGCTGAACTGCTGACCGGAAAGTCGGCAGTTTGAATCCATAAGACAGGGTGAGCTTCCATCTGTCAGCTCCAGATTCCCATGCGGGACATGAAAGAAGTCTCCCACAGGATGGTAATACATCTGGGTGTCTCCTGGCTACCTCTCTGCAGACAGCCAACTCTCTCACACCAGAAGCGACTTACAATTTCTCAAGTTGCTTCTGACCCGATTAAATATTTTTTTTTATGACAGAACCAATTAGGAAATGACATTTATAACCCAGGAACAAAGATCCTGTAACATAGTGTTACACAGCTGCATAAAAAGAGGTTGCTTTCATGCCTTTTGAAAATTTTCAACCGCTGCCGAAAAGGAGGAAGCGGTGTAGCCTGTTCTGGAGGAATGAGGAAAAGCCTCAAGGCTTCCTTTTTCTGGCTGCTGGGTCCCATTCACAGACATCTAAAACCAGTTTTGGGGTGAAGCAGTATTGTAGAATTAATGCAGTTTAACACCACTTTAGCTGGACTGCGAGAAGATCCAACCAGTCCATCCTCCAGGAAATAAAGCCCGACTGCTCACTGGAGGGAAAGATACTAGAGACAAAGTTGAAGTACTTTGGCCACATCATGAGGAGACAGGAAAGCCTAGAGAAGTCAATTATGCTGGGGAAAGTGGAAGGAAAAAGGAAGAGGGGCCGACCAAGGGCAAGATGGATGGATGGCATCCTTGAAGTGACTGGACTGACCTTGAGGAGCTGGGGGTGGTAACGGCCGACAGGGAGCTCTGGCGTGGGCTGGTCCATGAGGTCACGAAGAGCGGAGACGACTGAACGAATGAACAACAAACTTGTGTAAAGAGGTGGCATCAAGAAGCACTGCCTGATTATCAAGCAAAAAGTGGGCGCTAGAAATAATAACATACGAAAGCTGACTGGCACAACCTGGGGATCACAACTAGACACAGTGAAGACATCTGCCCTTGCGCTATGCTACTCTGCTGCTGAGTATGCATGCCCAGTGTGGAACACATCTCACCACACTAAAACAGTGGATGTGGCTCTTAATGAGACATGCCGCATTATCACGGGGTGTCTGCGCCCTACACCACTGGAGAAATTACACTGC